GTGAGACGACAGAAACACAGGTGAGACGACAGACAGACAGACAGGTGAGACAGACAGACAGACAGGTGAGACAGACAGACAGGTGAGACAGACAGACAGACAGGTGAGACGACAGAAACACAGGTGAGACGACAGACAGACAGACAGGTGAGACAGACAGACAGACAGGTGAGATGACAGAAACACAGGTGAGACGACAGACAGACAGGTGAGACAGACAGACAGATAGGTGAGATGACAGAAACACAGGTGAGACGACAGACAGACAGGTGAGACAGACAGACAGACAGGTGAGACGACAGAAACACAGGTGAGACGACAGACAGACAGACAGGTGAGACAGACAGACAGACAGGTGAGATGACAGAAACACAGGTGAGACGACAGACAGACAGACAGGTGAGACAGACAGACAGACAGGTGAGACGACAGACAGACAGACAGACAGGTGAGACGACAGAAACACAGGTGAGACGACAGACAGACAGACAGGTGAGACAGACAGACAGACAGGTGAGACGACAGACAGACAGACAGGTGAGACGACAGAGACAGACAGACAGGTGAGACAGGTAAACTGCAGCCAATCAGCTTGCTTGATAAAGGAGCTGATATTAAAACACGCAGAGTGAAAACAAAGCAAAGCTGAAACTTAAATAAAGCTCAAACCAGCAGAACAAACAATAGAAGCCTAAATTAGCAAAAAGGCAGCTAAAAGCTAACATTAGCAGCCAGATGCTAAAAGCTCAGGCTGTCAGAACCATATAGTTTGCACAGAACAATAAAAGATATCTTATCTGCATCACATGATGGAGCAGAGTCACCTGGCCCAGGTGAGTCAGAACTTTACACCTGACCCAGTTCTTTATGGTCCTGATGGTTAAAACCATCAACAACAAGATTAAACTGATACAACATGACTCATGTTTACAATGATTTACCAGACTGACAACAAACACACACACATAACAAACACACACATCAAACACACAACAAACACACACACACAACAAACACACAC